GACACAAATATGATGAGCTAATTTTCATATACTTTTTTAACTTCTCACACACCCGAGTGTGAAGAAGGAAAAATGAGGAGTATGTTTACCATTTTCTAAATCTCATATTAAAACCTAAATCTAACTCTCACTTTAATTGAGAACTCAAATATGACATTTAAGTCTTTAGTGGTAAAATGTGTTGTCGTAGGCATCCATTAGTATGAACACCTTAATTTTTGAATAATGGTTGGATAAACTACTACCACAATGTTATACGCAATGATAAAAGTTTATTGGCCAATAATCTAATCAAAAGTAAACTAGCTAGCTCTTTTGCACATGTAGAGTGTAAAATATGTTTATGTGCTAGCAGAAGTGGAAATGAGACTTAATGACAGAATCCTGATCAGAAAAAGATGCTGGAGAAAAAAGTGGTAGAAAATCCCCAATAAAAATTATATATCGAATGCAATCTCATAGTAGAATATAGAGAAAATAAAGTGTTAAGGATTTTGTATATGGCAACCACTTTCTCCCATTACTAATTCAAGAACAGAAATGACCCGAGACTGAATCTCTTTATTGAAATGACTCGTTACCACTACCAGCCTATGTTTATGACTTTGTAGTAGTGGTGGAGTTGCTTTATACCCCAAGCTCTACAATTTAAAATCACCGATCACTCTTAAATTAGTAATTTCATCTGTGCATTGCTAGTTTGGGAAGGTTCTAAGTGTTAACAAACCTATCTCAAAATTTCACCTTTCTTAAACTTCTATACGCAAGGCCTGGGGTATTTTCCCAGAATGTTTAATTAGCAGAACTCATTCCTTCTATCCACCCTTTATGTTAAACAAAAATTAGACAATCAAACCTTCGATCAGTAAGAACATGCAACAGAAATACCACAAAAAAGACAATTAGAGATATATAATTACAGGCGAGCATTATTTTGCATTTTACAAGGAGCTAGTTCACTTGTAGTTAAGAAAGTTAGGGTTCCAGCTATAATTACAAGCGAACATTGTTTTGCATTTTACAAGAAGCTAGTTCACTTGTAGTTAAGAAAGTTAGGGTTCCAGCTATAATTACAAGCGAACATTGTTTTGCATTTTACAAGAAGCTAGTTCACTTGTAGTAAAGAAAGTTGGGGTTCTACCATAATTTACAGACGGATATTGTTTTGTATTTTGACACATGTAGTGAAAAAAATTGTTGTTCCATCATAAAATCAATTAGTAATATGAAGAGTAATCCAATTATTATAAGCACATGCAATGTTTCTTTTTTTCCCTATGTGGAACACTGTCAACATGTGGACGACTAAGAAAGTTATTAAGCACATATCAAATTGTGATTTCTCTCTATAAACGTATTTTTCTCAAATAAATTCTCATAAAACTTCCCTTCTGCATTTTCATTTCTGCTGTACTTCAACTCCTTCAGCGTCTAATTTAGGAATATACAGAAAATGTTGGAGAAAGTGTGCACACCAAGACAGTGTGATAGTGGTAACAGTACAAGACGCTGTAAATAGTACGGACAGAGAAAACAAAAAAGCATCAGTCTTTCTTTCTTACGAGATTTTTCAATTGGCTCCTTGCGTTTGTTTTTGGTTCGGGTTACTCGTAAGCAAATTACAATTTGACGGGAATGGATTTGTCATCACAATCATATGAGTATTATTGGCAATATTTTGTTAGACATTTCTTGTTGGTCGCATTAGCAAACTCAATACCTTCCATGTGGTTGAGGCCCACATAATATCCCAATAAAGATATATACGAACATCCTTTCTGGGATCACTATGCAATCCAACTGAATGATCGTACTCATCCATCTTAATCCATCTTAAGGTGATGGTCTATCGTATCGTTATTTAAATCAGAAGACTCCTATTTTTAATGATATTAGCATCTTAATCCTCTAATTAATATTGTATCATGTTCATGTATAAGACCAACTTCAATGGTTTCGTTAGAACTTACAATTTAAGTTTTAAACTCGCACAAAAAAGCTTCTCCAATCATTAAGCTATAAAAATGTTTTGGGTGAAAATTATTTTTGGGCCAAATTTAACTTGGAAAATGAGCCAAGGTTAGTGGTTCAGACCCAGTTGCTGATGTTCTCGGCTACTTGCAAAAAAACCAACGACTATTTTTTTTATCGAGTGGCCCACGAGGTTGGACCGTTGATTGGTTGAGCCAATGGCCCAAATTCAATTTTTTTTTAAATCAAATTTATAAATACATTAAATCCAAAGCCTAAAACAATAAAAAAAAAATATTTAAATCAAAATTCACCTAAAAACTCTTATAAATACCTATGTATTTGTTCAAACATTCATACAAAATCCACTTGCGTCAAATAATTCTTCTTTTTCTTCTTTCTACCCACCTATGTATTAGTGTTTTAGAATGGGTAGGTTTTGTGGTTTTCTGTGTTCTTTCATGTGGTGCATATGTGTAAGAATGAAGTAGGTTCAGTGATTTTTTATTATTTATCAAAATTTAAATTTTTTTTTAGATTAAAATGTTCATAAAAATAAATTAGGATAGTCTAAATAAAGTTTATTTTTAAAAAAAGTAAAGAAAAAAAAAGGGTAAAATCATTATTTACTAATTTCAGGCTAAAATTTTAAGCCAACCGTTGGAAGAGAAAAGTTGTCTCTAAGTTTGAACCTAAATTTTCTAAGCTAAAAATTTAGGTTTTAATCTCAATCCTGGGAGTTGGTCTAATAGTTTACACATTGATAGGACGACCATGATGTAGTAACCAATGTTGTTAAAGTAATAACAATATCATTAATTTTATACATTGGACAACAAACTTTAACAATTATTATATAAACTTATGATGCTTGTAATTAGGAAGTTTGATCGCGTTGAAACTTAACGTCATATTGTAAGAAACCTAACATGAAGGTTAGGGGACCAAAAGTGAATCACGATGATTGGGTAATTTCATGACATCCACTCATCATAAGATATTACTCCTATATTTTAACGTCTGCATTGTAATAACCAACGTGTTATTGTAATAACAACAAAATTTTATTATTTTACCATTATTATATAACATTGAACAATATATTTTAGCGATTATCATGTACACTTATATTTCTTTTAATTACGACGTTGAATCATGATGAAACTTAACATCATATTGTAACAATTTTCACATAAAATTTGTGGACCCAAAAATAAATAAACGTATTCAATAACTTCATTATGTCCACTCATATATTATATTTGTTCTGTTAAACAAAAGTATCAAAGAAAGAAATGCATAGAATTTTCCTTCTTAAAGCTTATCCTGAAAACTCTATTTTTTATGTAGTCGGTCACTGTTTTGTCATATACAAAACTAATAATTTTAATGGTATATACTGAAATTCTCTATAACAATCCAATTACTATAGAGTATATATATATGTTCGCATATAAAGAAATATATAAAAATCATCTGTTTGAAACTCATGAAAAACAAGTAGGGCCACTTTCTCAGTAACCTTGCCTGAAAAGTGAAAGTTCTTATTTTACATAGGAAAAATCCTAAAGAGACTATGTTTTTAAATCATATTTTATAAACCACATGATGTGGTGGTCGATTGTGAGTTTTTTTTTAATGATTTAAAAAAGAAATTCAACCATCAACTGCTACATCCAATGATGGATCTAGGATTCTAACTTTGGGTGGTTCTAATAAAGGGATGTTAGGTAATAGTCCAGCGGCGGGCTAGGGCGCCTATGCGCCTAGACGGGGTCTAGGCAACGGACTAGGTTTATTATTCAACATAGAGCATACAAAAAAAAAAAAAATAGAATTTTTTCTGTACTAATTTAATGAACTTGATGTATGAGATGAAAGTGCAAGCGACTACGAGTTCATAGTATATTACAAAATACTTTTCAGAGGTAGTATGAATTTATAGGAATTTAAAAAAATAACAGTAACAAACATATGGTATAAAAATATTGGTTGAAATTCACTGTTTTAAAAATCTCTGCCTATCGCCGCCTAGGCCCCACCTAGGCACTAAGCGGTTGGCCACCGTCTCGATTAATGTCTAGGCGTTTGAAAATTAAGAAATGGCGCCTAGACCTAGTAAGGTGCCCACCTAGACCTGCCTAGGTTGCGATTCACTTAGACAGAAAATAGATAACTTTCATTTTGCATTTTATTTTTTTCAATAAATTGTAAGAAACTTTTTGAATACTTAAAGGAACACACATTATATACTTGTTCCCCATGTTTTCATTATGTTGCAATAGCTCATAATATATATGTCATTCCATTTTGTAGTTTATGATGAAATTATATATATTTGAAATATAAACAGATACTTATTTACACGAAATATGATTTAATTAAATCTGTCTAGTCCGCCTAAGTGCCTGCCTAGACCCCGCCTAGCCGCCTAGGCACTAGGCCCCAACCCACCGCCCGCCTAGAGTCTAGCGTCTTTTAGAACCTTGGGTTGAATAATACATCATTCCTTTGGTAATCAAAATCCTAGGGTGGCACATACAACAATTAAAAAAACTAAGAGTTGGTCATGTGGGAAATGAAGAGAAATTTTTTTTCTTCTTCGTTGTAACCAAGGTCCAAAAACAGCAGAACCATGGTGGTTTTCTCTCTTCCATCACATGTCTAGACCGTTGGGTAGTCCTCAGAGGTTCTTACAGGCGCTTCTTCGGACGTCCGGGTGGTCCTGGAACCACCTTGGTCCAAGAGTGCCCTTGGCTACATCAAGTGTTTTACAAAATATAATTCAAGAAGTTGGTCTTTCTAGCATCACTCTTTACATAGAAAACAACTGTCCTAAATTGTTTATGTATGTTCCACCTCATAAAAAAAATTTTCTACCCCACTTCCCTTGAACTTTGATGGATCTCTGTAGCTTCACAAGGTTCTTCTCTGAACACTATAAATATGGGGTATCTCCAATCAAAAGCCAATTAAGAAACCAGCAGCTTCCTCAGGAAAAACAGAAAGGTTGTAATCTTTGAGATATCATGGCAATGCTGTCATCAGATCCTCTTGTGGTTGGGAGAGTTATTGGAGATGTTGTTGATTACTTCTCCCCCAGTGTAAGAATGACAGTCACATACAACTCGAACAAGAAGGTGTATAATGGGCATGAGCTATTTCCTTCCTCAGTAACCATCAAGCCTAAGGTTGAAGTTCATGGAGGCGATTTGAGGAGTTTCTTTACACTGGTACGTGCATATGTTACCCTCCCAGCTGCTATATATTCTCATGTTGTCATGTATATATATATACCATAATTTATTTTCTTGAATAAGGGTTTTAATTTAAAACAATCATTTTATTTTTCGTAGGTTATGACGGATCCAGATGTTCCCGGCCCCAGTGACCCCTACCTGAAGGAACACTTACACTGGTAAACCTTTCCCTGAGAGAGATGATCATAAAAAAGCAATCTGAAATAAGGAAAAGAAATAAAAGGCAATCATTTTCCCGGCCCTAGCGACCCTTATCTGAGAGTTCACTTGTATCTACTTCTAATTAATTAACTTGGGCATAATATTATGTCCACCTGAAGATTAAAATTAATATGAAATACAAACCTTTTATACCGTTGAGAAATATCAGTTATGAGGGGAGTTTCCATTAAAATTAACCATGTTTTAAACCATGTATATGCGTCTTTTTCTTTATGTAAAATAAAATTAACTATGTTTCCTTGAATCTTGCTAGTCTTTTTTTTTCTTCCAATCAATAAGTTCGTATGTTTACATGCTTGACCTGGTAAATTTATTTCGTTTTTTTTCCTGTTAGATCCTGGATGCAGGGAGTTTCCATTTCCTTCTAATTATTTTTGGATAAAACTTACATGATCAGAATACAGAAGCTTCTATTGCATATATACTCATGCATTCAGTGTGATATTTTGGTTACAAAATTTGGACTAAATAATTTGCCATCTTGATTACAGGATTGTGACCGACATCCCAGGCACGACTGATAACACATTTGGTAAGTCCATTATATGTTCTTAGAGAGAGAGAGAGAGAGAGAGAGAGAGATAGAGAGAGAGAGAGAGAGAGATGATGATGATGATTATGACGCTGAATATGATTAATATGTTTTTTTTTGTTTGTTTGAACGTGTGATGATATAATTAAAAACAGGAATGGAGGTGGTGAAATATGAAATGCCAAGGCCAAACATAGGGATCCACAGGTTTGTGTTTCTTCTGTTCAAGCAGAAAGGCAGGCAGACAGTGATCCCTCCTGCTTCAAAGGACCACTTCAACACCCGAAAATTTGCTGAGGCGAATGACCTTGGCCTTCCTGTGACTGCTGTTTTCTTTAATGCTCAAAGGGAAACTGCTGCAAGGAGACGATAAAACAATAGCACTAACCGAAAAACAGCTCTGCTCTCCAAGTTGTACCTGGAAATGAATTGCTACAATAACCAGAGGGGACTGTGTGTTTACTATTTGTTTTAAGAGCACCCTCTGGCTTTATTAACCTAACAAATGTCTATTAGTTTACGGTTGTATACTTTATGAAACTTTTCTCCAAATAAATATAATAATATGGGAAAATTATACTGTACGACTAAATTTCTTTCACAAGTTCATACTAACTAGCCTCTCCACACGTGCTCACGCACATGTGAAAGGTATTTTTGCATCATGAGCTCTACGCGCTTTAAAGATGTGTTGCTTTAGATGTTCTTGTATTCTTTATTATTTTTTTCTTTCAAATATCTCCTTATGATATTTTTTTTGTACAATTGTTTAACGTCAAAGCATTGGCAGAATACGCACTAGGTAATAATGAACTTGATTTTAATTATGACAAATTCAAACTGCAATGAATAATTTTAGTCTTAAAACAGAATACAAAGATATGTTTATACTTAAAAGAAAATAATGAAATATGAGATTCACTCTTTTCCTAGGAATCCATTGAAGTAATACATAAAGTGCAAACTACAAAGCCTGTCTTTTAGTAAAAAGATAATAAAATTTTTGGCTTTCTCCTCTGCATGGACCAATGAAGTCCAACATTGTTTTTTCTTTTTGAAATTTATTGATCTGCAGTTGCAAACCCTATATGAAGAACTAATTTTATTAGAAGCACTAGCCTCTCCGTACGCGCTCACGTGTATGCGAGAGGCCTTTTTTAATCATGGGCCCCTTAAGATATGTTGTGGTAGTTGTTTTCTTTCTCATATGGCGTCGTAAAAATAAAATACAACATACAATTACAAATAAAAAGTATTGGAATATAATTAAGTTGGGTGTAAAATGCATGATAAAATAAAGGCTCATTGTACGCACTGAAGCACATTCAAAGAGATTAGGAAAAAATAAAGGTAAAAATACTTCAAGGAATCAAATAATAATGTAAGAGAATAAATTAAACAATTAATCTATGGCATTAAGTTGAAGAATAAGAATTCATATATATATTTTCCTTATAGTACCACAAAGTACACTGACTTTTATTACATTTGTTTAAACAATTTATCTTATTAAAAATTGCTAAAAATGGAGTTGATAGGGTTTCTGGCTTCATAGTATGTTATCTATTATTTCTTGATATATATCTTACCCTTTCCCATTCCGCTTGCAAGCTGCTTTGTCAATTTTATGCTACCACAATTGTAAGAACTCAATTTAAAAACAAACTCCATATGAATGAAGCCACTTATTAAGAAATCAAATATTATTCTGATACACATAAACTATGGACAAACCTGGGAGCGAAAATTATCAGTTTTATCCACCAACAGCTCAATCTTTTCACCGCGATCAAGAACTTGCAAAACATATGAATTTACGATGATTAAAAATCGATCCACATTTATGTACATGTAATCAAAATGGAAAGGAATATGAAAAGTAAAAAAGAATTAGAGTGAGAAAAGTCAGAATGACTATTCTCCAAATGAAACAGGCAAGTTCAACAATAATCGTTCCATAGATTTCCCTATAAGAAGGAGAGGGAGAAATAAACCATTCAATAATTAAAAAGCATATTACGAACTTAAATGAAAACCCTAAATACTCTATAGCCATTCTACCAATGAAAACTCACTGCTCTTATCTTGCCTTCTCCCACGTTCAAAACTCTATAGCCATTCTACCACAACAACAACAACAACAACAAAGCCTTTTCCCACTAAGTGGGGTCGGCTATATGAATCCTAGAACGCCATTGCGCTCGGTTTTGTGTCATGTCCTCCGTTAGATCCAAGTACTCTAAGTCTTTTCTTAGGGTCTCTTCCAAAGTTTTCCTAGGTCTTCCTCTACCCCTTCGGCCCCGAACCTCTGTTCCGTAGTCACATCTTCGAACCGGAGCGTCAGTAGGCCTTCTTTGCACATGTCCAAACCACCGTAACCGATTTTCTCTCATCTTTCCTTCAACTTCGGCTACTCCTACTTTACCTCGGATATCCTCATTCACAATCTTCTCCTTTCTCGTGTGCCCACACATCCCACGAAGCATCCTTATCTCCGCTACACCCATTTTGTGTACGTGTTGATGCTTCACCGCCCAACATTCTGTGCCATACAACATCGCTGGCCTTATTGCCGTCCTATAAAATTTTCCCTTGAGCTTCAGTGACCTACGACGATCACACAACACGCCGGATGCACTCTTACACTTCATCCATCTAGCTTGTATTCTATGGTTGAGATCTCCATCTAATTCTCCGTTCTCTTGCAAGATAGATCCTAGGTAGCGAAAACGGTCGCTTTTTGTGATCGTCGCTAGATTGCTCCGGTCATTAGTGTGGATAAGTATATAAATGGATAGAGATAGGAAAGCAAACACCAGATGTACGTGGTTCACCCATATTGGCTACGTCCACGAAATAGAGGAGTTCTCATTAATTGTGAAGGGTTTACACAAGTACATAGGTTCAAACTCTCTTTTAGTGAGTACAAGTGAATGATTTAGTACAAATGACATTAGGAAATATTGTGGGAGAATGATCTCGTAATCACGAAACTTCTAAGTTCCGGAGTGTGGTATTGTCTTGACTTGCCTTATCTGTCTCGTAGGTAGATGTGGCATCTTCTCTGGAAGTACTCTTCCTCCATCCAGGGGTGGTATCTTTAACTGGTGGAGATGCACAAGGTAATGTATCAATTTCACTTGAAGCTTACTTGTAGTTTCAGGCTTGGTCAAGCGCGATACAAACCATGTAGTAGGAGTCCTCCAAGTCGCCGAGCTAGGGGATCTGCTGAAAGAGGTGATAGACAAGGTAAGCAATCAGAGCTCCAAGCAATCAGTCCCAGATCAGAACTTTGATTTCGAGTTCCGGCTGATTGTTCACATTCTCCCTATCTTGCAGGCAGCATGAAGGATAAAGAGAAGAAAAATGATGAGAAGAGATGATATGGGATACTTTTGCTTTTGAAGAAGTAACTTTCCACAGGCTTATTCTTGAACTGGGCTGGAGGGTTTTCTGGTTTCCTCCAGAGTATAAGGCCGACTGAAGAATTTGAGGGTCAAAACAAGTCCATCAAATCTATAGTACGTTCGACCCTGCTGATATGGGATACTTTTGCTTTTGACAGAGTAGTGGATGTATCGGCACGTGTGCTGTTACGCTTGTCTCCACATGCTTCCTTGTATCCTTCTCACTTGCCCTATATGTTCCTCAGGCAGATGCGGTATCTTCCCTGGAAGCATAAGATGTTGAAGATGAGTACTCGAGAGCAATGCCAGGTAAGGTAAGTAATCAAGTAAGGGGTTCCAGGCAGTCAGTTCCTGACTGGAAGCTTGATTCCAAGTGCTGACTGATTGCTCTCTCTTTCTCCTTGTCTTGTAGGTAAGAACAAGGCCAAAGGAAAAGACAGGGAAAAAACATGATATGGGATACTCTTGCTTTTAATCCTGATGATATGAGATATTCTTGCTCTAGTATAGCTTGTTTGCAGATGTATTATCGGGGGGAAAGAAAGCTGAATATTTCGAAAGGCTTCTTTGGGAGTGCCCTCTCAGATATGAGGAAGGGTTGAGCATTTTTGCAGGTCTGCCTGTCTGTTGGGGATGGAGGTCAACATATATAGGAGTCTCCCTAACAACAAGTAGTAATGCTATTCCTTTACCCTGCTTGGTCATAACACGGTAGTGGGAGCTGCCAGCTTCACATGTTTTAAATTTGTCAGAGCACTTTGAAAAAATGGTCTATGGTATCTGGAAAGCTGATGTTGCGTGTAAAGATTACAGACAAGCTTTATCCAAGGAGATCCGGCTCTTGAAGTTGGGAAAGTGGTGCCTCTTCGGTTTTCGAACAAGTAATCATGTCGGAGATCTGTCTCTCGAGGTTCGAAGAACGATGCCTTTTCGATTTTTGAGAAAGCCATCCTGCTAGGGGTCTGGCTCTCGAGATTCGGAGAGCGGTGTCTCTTTGATTTTTGAGAAAGTAATCATGTTGGGAGTCTGGCTCTCGAGATTCGGAGGGCGGTGCCTCTTCGATTTTGGAGCAAGCAATCTTGTTGGGAGTGTTTTCTCGAATGTGAGAAAAGGTTGGGCATGTTTGCTAGTCTATCTTGCCACGAAGCACAGAGGTTGACACACAGGGACTTTCCAATTATCCAGCAGTGGTACTGTTCCTTTACCCTTGTGGGTAATAATATGGTAGCTAGACCTTCAAAATTTATGTGTCTAAACTTTGTTAGTGCTGTTTCTTTGCTATTCTTTTTACCCTTCTTGGTTAAAGCGGTGTAGTGGGAGCTGCAAGCTTCACGTGTCTCAACTTTGTCAGAGAACTTTGGCAAAGTTATCTGTGGTACCCATGAGCTAATGTTGCGTGTGGGAAGTGGGTGATTGAACAGTAAGATTCATGTGCTTTCTACTTCACCAAAAATCTTCGACATAATGCCCATAATTTCCGCAAAGCTGACAGGTGTTGACAAGGCTGGAAAAGTAGGTGCCTCTTCGATTTCTGAGATCGGCCATCGTGGTCTCTGAGCAGCCCAGCTTTTGAGAAAGCAAGCGCCTCTTCGATTTCTGAGATCGGCCTTCGTGGTCTTTGAGCAGCCCAACTTTTGAGAAAGCAAACGTCTCGTGGTCTCTGAGCAGCCCAGCTTTTGAGAAAGCAAACGCCTCTTCGATTTCTGAAAGCTCCGTCGAGTGCAGATTTTTTATAGAGGCTGGCATTAAGTTCCAAAGCACACTTGAATCTCCACCAGTAGAAGCTCCATTCTTGCACTTCTAAGATCTTGATTTGTCCGACCTCTTCTCTCTTCAACACCTTTGAAAATGTCTGGCCCCTCCGACCGTCGTTTTGACTTGAACCTTGTTGAAGAGGCAGCCACGCCTTCTCCAGACAACATATGGCGCCCATCATTCGTCTCCCCTACTGGTCCTCTTACTGTTG